CCAGTCATGATCACGTATTCACGTTTCTGCTTTTTCATTGCGAAGTCAGAAGTCACTAGCAGTGAGGGATATTTGATATTTTTTTCAATATATTTCGTTCAGACTGTATAATAGCTGAGTTTTTTAATTTTACAATTCTATTAAAAAATCGATTTGGTGGAATTTTACAGATGCATGCAGATACATCTAGTAAATAGTTATTAATTTTGCAAATATATTGTTCATGCATTCGCCCGTTACTGGAATACGCCTCACCTGTCTTTCATAATTCCTTACCGCAATATTAAAATTTGGATATTGAAAGAGTTCAAAAACGATGTATCAAAAGAATATTTCCTGGCGTTTCATACGAAGAAGGTCTCAAGTTAGCTAAACTAGAAACCCTGTGTGATCGCCGATCGGAAGCGTTTAAAAAGCTATTTCTCCAAGCCTATTCTGATACTAGTCATAAACTACACAACCTGATTCCAAAGGAGAACTCATGCCAATATTCCCTAAGAAGAAGCCGTAAACTTTTAGTGCCAAGAACAAGAACCGATCGTTTTAAAAACTCCTTTGTCATTTCTAACAGTTCAAATATGAAAAATCTAGGTAATCTTGAATGTATATATTCTTAATGTATTCCCATTTGAATTTTAGAAAACTATTTCGGAGTGATCAAACTTTTTAACTAATCTATTGGTAATCTATTTAGACTAACTATTTATTTCTTGTAAATATTCGTAGATAATTCAGTGCACAGTTCTTCTGTAACTGCAAACTATGAATCCATTAAAGTCACTATCACTATCACATCAACGAATACTAATCACAATGTAGGGAAGCCCTAAAATAACGCATATAAACACTCTTTAGTTATAATATCCAGCAACGATTGTTCAAGTATTAAAACTTTTCAATATAATGAGCTTACTTCAGCCCAGTTAACCGGGCAGGCATAGTACATGTAATTGTAAATTTAAAGTCATCTCGCTCAGCTGCCCGGTCCATGTAATCGGCCCCTTATTCAAATATATAAGGCCCAGCCCTCATTTAAGGTTAAGTAATCATTTTAATTGGTTAAAAAGTGATGGTGTTAATAATACTTTGATTTGAAATAATAGGAATGAATTTCACAGTCTAGTACTGGTAAACATGCATCATTGGTAGTAAAAGCCTCACTTGTATTAGTTCGAAGGGCAAACCTGCATTTACAAAAATTTGAAAATAGTGTAAGCATTCCTATGATGAATCATTCATTGGATAAAAATATGATAAATACCCCACCTTTTTAACCTAATCAAATCATTTTCTAACTTGTAAAGAAGGCCTGAACCTTACATAAATAATATCCAGCATTGGGCGGCCAGGTCTACCATAAAATGAAATGAAGTAAAAACTCAGTATCTGGCCAGATATGATATCCATTGCATCCCTAGTTATTTGTTATCAATAAATTATGTTTCTTTGTTTTAAAATGCCAAGTTTACAACTTTACTCAATTACTTGTTAAGGAGAAAGTGTTGGATATACGTCTATGAGATGACTGTATATTCTTGGTATTCAATTTTCTTATTTAATTAAATATATGCACCATTTGTACCCTTTTATAGTTAATCCTCAGATGTATAATGGTTTCCCTTCCACATGCACTGGGAGACAGACAGACCCACCACAACCAGACAGACCCACCACTATAACATGTTCCTAGTTTGTAGCATTCAGCTTTGTTATTCATACAATTGCCTGTATACAGTAGTCAGTGCTTTAATGTGCAAAATTGTCCATTTTTGAATAACTGTGCAGGGCTGTGGTTTAATTATTAGTTATATATTGTGTATAGTAGGCTAGTTTGGTTAAATTTAATATACCACGTCTGACCCAGGCCTAGAGCAAGTGTCATTTGTGTATTCAAGTTTGATTCAAACGTAAAAAGAGAATTAATTTTAAACTACCCTGCCATTGTGGTAAATAATTGTCAGTATTTATGGTTTCAAAGCAAAAGTTGAGTTATATTGTAATTAACTGTTCTAGTAAGAATGGTTTCAGAATTAATATTTATAATTGTGAATACTATGCACTGATTAATAAATGCATTATATTTTGAAGGGAACTGGTGATGTGAAGCGACAGTCTCACCTGGAATCCTTTTGTGTGGTACCGGTACCTCTGTGTTTGATACTTCGGTTATATGTATGTTGTTGGGAAAGGAAAAGTGCTGTGTGACGCTTTACGTGAATTCAAACTTTTAGACTGTCTTAATCTGCTACTTTTCGTCCAATACACGTACAATTTGGATTTATATAAAGTCCAGAGAAGTGCAATGATATTTTTAGAGAAAGAGAGAAATCAACCTTTGCAATGAACTCTAATAACCAAATCCCTCTTAGTGTTAGTCAAGTTTTTACTCTGTTGGGTCAGTGAAGGATTCAGACTTTAATGCACTCTCTTTACGTTTATGTTTGTATATAATTAGCATTTAGTGACGTATTAAATCCATTTTTTAAAAGGAGAGATAAATTTGTCTGTTTAATTACGTCCCATCTTATTTTCTGCACTGAAGGCTATGTTACACGAAACGTGAATGTTAATGTGAATGTTAGAAATCATTTACATATCATATCGTACCTAAATATTGTGATGATGTGTAACAGCTTATCACAAATTTTTTACAGAGAGTTTGGATAGCTGAAACGACCCTCTTGAATAGCTGAAACGACCCTTTTAAGTAGCTGAAACGACCCTTTTGAATAGCCGAAACCGCCATTTGAATAGCTGAAACGACCCTTTTGAATAGCTGAAACGACCCTTTGAATAGCTGAAACGACCCTTTTGAATAGCTGACACGACCCTTTTGAATACTGAAACGACCCTTTTGAATAGCTGGAACGACCTTTTAAATAGCTGAAACCACCCTTTTGAATAGCTGAAACGACACTTTTGAATAGCTGAAACGACCCTTTTGAATAGCTGAAACGACCCTTTCGAATAGCTGAAACGACCCTTTCGAAGAGTAACGCTCCTACCCTTTGAGGAGTTAAAACTACCCTCTAAAAAGGGTAGAATCTACCCTTTGGAAGAGTAAGCGCCGAAGGGACTGAAACGACCCTTTTGAAAGGGTAGTCCTGGGGTAAAAAAAACTACTCCTTTGAAGGGGTCAAAACTACTCTTTTGAATTAACAGTGTTTATATACACTTCGTGCGAAATTAAAACGAATGTGTAAGCGATATCATTACCGGCATGTAACTTTTATCATGACGAACTATAAACTCAGAGTGCATGTTGCTATGGCCAAAAAAATTTTAAAACAGTATAAATATGGTCGCGGATACCAATTCAATCCATATCGTTTTATTCATGCACAAAGTACTAAAAAACTGTAAGTAAAGCAGTATAAGCTATTTTTCTAAACACTGATTTCTTCCTTGGAAATTACTAAAGCATTATCCTGTTGGTATTTGTTATCTCAGGTCTATTGAAGCACTCCGGATGCAACGTGAAGAGCCGATAACTGCCACTTAGAAAGGCACTTAGTTCTCGACATCAGCGGGACAGCCACTTGGGAAGGCACTTACTGTTCATCTTAATATTAGCATTGTGTGGGCGGCAATGTTTGTCAACACCTCGCTCTTCGGGTACTGAAGGTACGTACAATATATAGATAATCTGATCAGGCAAATTGACGGCCATTGATATTTGATAATAATAACAACAATTATAATAATAATTGTTCGTTGATTGGTAATTTTCTTCTCTCATTGAATTGACTTGAGGTTGTCTCTGTGCATGACAGCGCCTTCCTACAGACACAGCATTGCACACAAATCAAACGAACTTGCCGTTTAAGGGTTCACTTTATATTTTTATATTGTTTCTTAAATTGATATAATTGTTATCAAGGTAAAAATTTTGGTAACTTTTATGAGAGAAATTTCAGATTCCTTGTTCAAAACCAATATTTAAGTTTTTAAGTTCATATCTGTATGCTTGTTAACGTTTTGAGTGATCTCCCACTTTGTCTGCAAGCTCGCGTAGAAGGTATAATTTCTCATATTTGCACGGTAAATTTCTATTCTGTTCAGGGCTTCACGTCATTTTTATTGATCGAAACGCATCTTCCAATTTCATATATATATATATATATATATATATATATATATATATATATATATATATATATATATATATATATATAATATTATGTACCATATAATTCAACCTTCCATAATCAGTCCGTTGCAGGTTTCTTTCTCATTAAATTGCCAATACAACTCGGGCACTAGAAAGGACTACTTCTTTCGTCTTGTATGCAGTTGTGGTTCTTTTTCTCCATCCCACTGCCAGCATGATCCTGTAGCTTCACGTGCTCTCGGAGACGAAACTTCGCTTATTTTTCTATACATCATTGCAGACTATAACTTGTCCTAATTTCAGTCAATCGGTATTCCTCTGTTTGTGCGTGATGTAACATGCCATTACAGATGTGTGTTTCTTATATGGCTGAACTCTTTCAATTTCTTTCCATCTGTTTCCTGAAAGGTGTTCCGGTATGACGTGGGAAATATAGTGTATACATATTTGGGTTAAGAACGTATAGTCATGTTTCTTAAAAGTCATACATATATACTGTATAAAGCGAGATAAGATCCCATGCAGAGTTGGCCAACATTGCATTTGAGCGATAATCTTAACCCAGACATATACCTTGGTTAAGAATTTAATCCTCTTTTTGATAAGTTAGCATATAATTTAGTAACGTTTTTACTTATTGCCATCATGACTACAAAACAGGGTACAAATTAAATCGTTAATACTGTGGCAATTGATATACAAGGCGGAAATCTTAGTTTAATATTAGCTTACTAATTGTATTACTATTATACTTATTTAATTAAACCAGACGGGAGTATACAATCACACAACGTTATGGTTATAATGTATAATGTCTGATTTATTATTATCTATTTCTGATTTCATGTTATATTTGCAAGTACAAGAAGACAGAGTGCATTGTGTTAAATTACCTAGCAGGAGCGGGTATTAACGGCTGGTAATTGTAACCCAATGTAGCAAGTTCCGGATGTTTCTGTTTCATTATTTTAATCGTGGGTTCTATGAATAAATTGTCAATATTCTGCGAAATTTTAGCCGACGTTTCCGCGAATTGGCATCCCCATTGTCTTGCTAACATTCTACCTTCTTCCGAACTAACGAGATGGGTCCGTTCAGCGACATCACATTTATTTGCAATCAATAATATAGGTAAATCAGTTCGTCCCTTGGTTTTCACTATTTCCATTTTCACCTTCTTAGCATCTTCGAAAGATTTTCGATCATTCACAGCGTACACAATGACAAATGTCTCAGCAGAGCTAATTGCAAGTTGTCGCATTGCAGGAAATTCATCGGAACCGGAAAGGTCAAAGATCCGGTATGATACACCAACATCCGTAGCATCGAGTATGTAATGTTCTTCAAAGACATCCATCAGAGTTGGATTATACTTATCGCTAAAGGACCGGTATAGGAAACGTTTCACTAGGCTTGTTTTGCCGCTGTGACTCGAACCGAGGATGGCCAATTTCATTTGGATTTCACAAACGCATGTTGATTTGGTGTTGTTCTTCCTTGAGTATTTCTTCGCGTTCGCTGTCGGCATGATTAATTGTTGTTATAGTTTAAAATCTATATTCTGAACTCTCCGATAACTTGTTGTGACTCTTTATAGAAGTAACTGATATGTCCGGAATTCTACGTGCATGTTATATAGGGCTATGTGGAAGGTGGAATGACCTTGGACTTGAACCGGAAATGGGCGGATGGAATTTAGAATATATTCTCTATTTTTTATATATCACTTTGATTCCCCCCACATAACAACCAATATTGGCACCATATGATTATTCTTTTTGCAAACATTTGCCTATAAGAATCTTCTAGAAATTTAATAGATTTTACCAAGGCCCCATATTGTATATAGAGGATAGGTTTAGGACGTCAACGCGTCGGCGACGCAAATTTTTTTTCCGTAGACAGTCGGACTCCTCATTGATAGTCGGACGCATCATTGATCCGCGTCCAGGCCTCCGCGCGTTATCAATGAATCCCTTCGTAACCCACTGGTGCACCATATATCCATCACTCCACGTTGTTCTTCTTCAACCACGTGTAGAAAGATGAACGATTTACTTCGCGATGCCATAATAAATCTACAAACTTGTTTTTCTGGTTCCGAAAATACTCAAGAACGGTTATTGCGAGTTAAAACTATATATCATCCCTTTTGAAGAGAATCAGGATAAGATAACTAGCGTGCGAGGAAATAGTGGAAGATTCAAAGCGACAATCAATACCACTTTCCACAAATAGA